CGTAAAAACAGCAAGCTCTTTCGGCCTGAAGCGGTAGGAAGACGACCCAGGAAGCCAGCGGAACCTTCCTCACTGCTGCCTCATTCTTGAGACATTCCCGACCCGGACAGGCTTATCGTGTTTTCTCATAGGAATGGAGGGAAGAAAAAAAAAAAAAAAACATCATGGAAAATGAACGTATATAATACATACCTTTCTGTAGGTGCATCGCTCAGCGCTAGGCCTCGGGTTGAAATGAAATGATTGGAAGTCAGCTCAATGTTGCCATGGTTCCTGACCTTATTATGATATTCAAACGTTAAAATCAAATCTCTTTCTAAATGAATGCTTTCACTCAGTCACAGATTGGTTGACTGGGACGAGGTCTCACCATTGCTCTAACGTTTATTAGCAATGCATTTGCTGACACACTCATTTCAGTCTCAAACTTTAAACGATTCTTCGTTTTTATTGGCGAGATCGTCTCTTGTTTATGTCTAGGACTGTCAATCTTACAGAAAAATAATACAGATCCCAGAATGTCGCCCTTGTCCTAAGTGTGCACTATCTTGTGCCCGCGCAGCGAACTCGACGTCTCACCACCCAACCAATGAATTCCTGCGTATTGTAAAATGAGCGTTTACACGCCCAGCAGTGCGGGCGGTAGCAGTTTACATTAGAGCTTCAAATGCTAACTTGGCGCTAGACATGCAGAAGAAATAGAAATCATGCGAGCAGTATTCTACGCTACTTAAACAGCAGTACTACCCAGAACCGTGAAAAGAATTACGTAATTTTCTCTTTTGATGCAGTTATATTTTTTAAAACGTTACCTATTATAACACAGAAATATATTTAAACGACAAATCGAATATGAAAATTCTTCATATCAAACGGGCTCTGATAAGTGGTTTATTTAGCATAAATATTAAACAAAATTAAAAACAACTTAAATTTGGGGTTCATCACTAACTATTTGATTTGAAAATAACTTCCCTGGATGCTGTCGTTTTAAAAAGAAAGCACGAGTTTAAATTTTAGACACGCAGGACACTTCAGAACTATATATTTACCAGAGGTGTTTTGCTGAACACTACAATACTGTATGGTTGATAAATACTTTATATGATTCTTAAAAAAAAAACAGTCTTCAATACAAAAACAACAACAAAAACCGCGGATTTGAGAAACTCGGAAAGGAAAAACGTTAAGGAATTTGTCCAGTGTTGGTGGCAGCAGGTACTGAGCAACTACCATTAAAAGAACACGGTACTTACGTTATCCAACCAATAGCCTCAAGCCAACGTAAGAGTGAGATTTGGAAGACCACAGTTACATCACAACTACTGGTCAGTCAGTACAGCACTACAAGTGAAGGCTGCTCGTAGTCGGTTTCGGATGATATTAACTCTTGACACACGCCGCCAGACTTCGCCAATCTGTGGCGTGCACACGGGAAGGATCTTTAGTGAGCGGTTTACGTTCCTGGTATACGTTAGCGTTATGATAATTAAATCGTGAATATGCGTTAATCCAAGAGTTTGTGTGATTTCAGAGATATGTCGTATTTTAGCCAATACAAATCTTTCTTTTTTCATCCTCTACATCACATGCAAAGATGAGATTAACGGAGAGCTTCACTAGTAGTAGTAGTAGATCGCGTATGTGAAAACTCATTGATATTAGGCCTAACAGTGGTCGTCATGGGCGGAGCAGGCGAACGTTCTGCAACGAGTGTCTGTCGTCGAAAGGCCGATGGTGACCGCGCTTTCTTCCCACACTTCGCCGCCTGTGTGTGAGGCCAACCCCTAAGAAAATAAACAAAGATGTCCCGGACGGGCCCGAGGGGGTGAACGATTATAAAGGGCCTGAGCATCACGTTTCATGACCCCTCGCACTGTGTTCTCCACTCAAACAAAGCAAATGGCACAAGACTTAAGAGGGAGTACCCTGCTTTCCACATGTAAGGTTTTTTTAGGTGTAACTGTTCATGTAATGTTGTTGGCTGACGGTGCGATTCCTTGGTAGAGCTTGATTTTTACTTTACTGTTATCAGGAAAATATTTTCTCGTTGTACGAATGCTTTAATTAAAGTTTTGCACGTATAACCTATATAATATATAAGAAATAATATAGTACAACAACTTCTTAAAGTAAGAAAAAAAGTTAAGTCCCTGCTATATCATCTTTCCGGCAAGATTTCTTCATAACTAAATTAAACTAATATAAATCAATAATCAAGCTGTATAAAATAACTAAGCAAACATATGTTGAATCATTTAATAAGTACATTACAGTACTAAATCACCAAACACCTATTACGAATTTATAAACAAGCTTGTGATAAATTTACCTTGTCACAATCAGTAAGTCGCTCCTTGTAACAACTGTCACTATATATGTTACAATCCATACAGTGGCTAGTTGTTTATTTGGATTGTTCTTCTATTAGTAGTTACAGACTTGATTATTGTATGGATTTGCTAAGTTGTTTCGTCGAATCTTCAATGCAGACGATAACTATAACAGCTCTTCTAAACCACGATATTATTGTCACGATCTTTCCTCGACTGAATGATCACCTCGAGTAACGCAGATCTGTCGTGACCATGGAAGGACACCAAATCCCGGCGCAAGTCATTAACAATGGGCGAATTAATGCTTGTCTGTTGGGGTGGCGATATACGGCGCGATGAAAATGTGACACATAGTGTTGCAAAAACGAAGCAATCTGATCTACTCTGGCTCCCAACAAAATCGATAAATATATATGTGTGTGTGTGCGCGTGCATGTAAGTGTGTGAGCGAACTCATACGTGAGATTCTACTATGGGCAAAGTTGTATTGTTCTAATATGCTAAAGAAACCGTGCCAGGGGGTAGTGCTAGCTAGTAATTGTGTCTTCTAATTAGAAACTGAGTGAGCTAAAAATTGACATCACCCACGTGACTCGTGCAGTTTCCTCGTGGCAACAAGGAAACTTCTTCATCCATCTTACAACCTGGTTTGTATATTTTAAATTTCGCATGATGAGATTCTCATCAGACGTTTATCATATAAACTGATTATAATGTGAATGTTGTAATTTATGACAACTAATTTCCTAATAAAAAGGTCGTAAACCAACAACGCATGATTTGGTTAACGCTTTCAACATTAATGTAATAATTAAGAAAAACAGAATATAATGCGCATGGGTAACTTAAGCTCGGAATGCATGATGGGGTTAAAAAAATGGCAGATTTTAGGCTTAAGCGAACTGTTAAAAATTGATTCAAATGTAGACATTTAATTCTTGATAAAGACGTAAGTAGGTTGAAACGTCAGGTACATTAAAACTTTCTTATCTGAAGTTTGTATTCATATTTCTTATAATGATAATTTCTAGTCTTTAGTGTGTACTTAGACATCTGAATCTAAGCAGACTTGTAAGTTGTAACCGAAACGGTAAGTATACGTTTTGTTAAAGTATGAAATTGTAAACAAACAATACTGCAGATTTAGGTCATGATGTAGTGATACAAAATTATTTTTGTTATTTTATTCATTTGAAATTGTATTTTATATGTATTTGCCAAACTGGCACTGCTGTATTGCAAAGCATATATATATATATTACTGTTAGATTATGACATGTTATTGATAATATTACAACTAATACAAGTGTCACAATGTGTCGTTAGGCTTAAGAACTGTATATGCATGTACGTAGACGGGGGATTGTGGAGGAAGGTTGACGTGGAGATCGCACCCATGAATATATGAAATATATTTAAGTTTTATATATTTCTGCCTATGCCTCTCATATGTTAGAAATATTTTATCACTAAAATACAATGTAGATACAGTATAACAAAATTTGTTGCAGAAGGAGCAGCTCTGTCTTCCAAAAATTATCAAAGTAAATTTTATTATAAATTTCAAATTTTAAAAAAATGAGAAAGACTTAACTCCACAATATGTACTTTTTTATAAATTAAAAGAACATTTTTTACTATATTATACTATTATAGCCTAGGGATCCAGTGAAATTTGAAAACCAAATTGTGAAATCTTCAATCAGAATAACATTCTTTTACAAATATTAAACCAAAGAAGATTTATGTTGGGCAGACACCTAGTCCAGTGGTTTCCATCCCTTTGTATGCCATTTACCCCCAGTTAGACCTTTTAGCCAGCAAAATAACCCACAAACCTGTAAAATATTTTAAAAAAATAATAAAAATATTAATAAAATGGTACATCAAAAGAAATAATGTGTTTCAGAGATTTTCAAATGGACAAATTCATAAAATGCAAATTTTGAAATGTCTTGTGGCTTTGTTAATTCATGGAACCCACAGTGTGCATTCTATGGTGAGTCAACAATATGAGAATGTTAAGTCTTGGATAGTGGAATAGATTTGTAAATCGTGAGGCTTGAGGGATAGTTTATTTTAATAAATGTTTTTCGAAGGTTCTCTTGTACCCACATATCTCTGGGTTACCCATACTACAGGTTTGGAACCACAAATCTAGCCAAAATTAATAGCAAGTTTCCTTTTTTTACTTGAACACCAATACTTGAAATTTCATTGTAAAAACGTGTCAGAAAAATTGGTGATTCCAAAGTAGAAACATGTCTCTATTACCACGTAACTAAAGCTGTATGTTTAGATTTAGTGAACAAGGAAGTTTAGTTCTTGGTACTCTTTATAGGAATTTGAATTTGAACTTCACTTAATTCTAGCATATTAAAACCTAATATATTAACAACAATGAACAATTTAATCCTTCAAGATTATCCTTGCAGACTCACCATTGAGAAAAACTTAAAACCATCTTTTATTTCTCAGCAAATTATTGATTCCCCTTTAAAACTTATAAAGTACCACTCTCTGTAAATGCTTATGGCAATTTTCCATAAGCCAGTCACTCTGTTATAAAATAAAACTCTTAACTGTAGCCTAGCCTGTTCTTTACAACTCTTAAATTTGTGTCCTCCAGTTCTGTTGTTTTCAGAATATAACACAAAGAAATTGCTGGCTTTTATCCTTCAATAAGATCACCTTCTACTCTTTTCTTAAGAGAAACTAACCGATCCTGACTAATTCCTGTCAGATAACTACTTCCATGACTTGAGTGACCTGTCTACCATTATGCCAATATTCTTTTATCAGTCACACTATTGAGATGGTTCCCGCCTAACATAAATGTGTAATCCAAACTATGATAACCCAAATGCATTACCTTACACATTTCACAATCAAATGACTATCTCACCGTTTAAAGAAAAATCCTTCTGGTCACTCCTAGCCAACAGAGAATCATGTCTAGATAGTTTTATTACTACAGTTGAAAATGAAGTAATTCAAGCTATTAACTCTGACTCAAAAGTATGAAACAATCTCTCCTATATTGAACATTCTGCTCTAATTTCACTGAAACAGAAAAATGAAAGCAATATTAAACCAGCTGATAAGGCAGTGCCATTGTCATTCAAGATAAATCCAACTACATCAACAAAGCTTGCTTACAACTTAATGACACAAACCACTATAAAAAGGTAGATTTGGAACCCACACTGCAATTTGTTAAAATTATTGAAGATATGCTATGTAGTTTACAGAAAAGCCAACACATCAGTTGTGAAACATTACAGTTCTTTTCACCGAAACACCCAGTTCCAGGTTGCTTTTACATGTTACCACAAATACACAAACCCAACAATCCTGGTCGTCCTATTATTTCTAATTGTGATATGCCTACTGAAAACTTATCTGCTTATGTTGATCAACACATCAAAGATATCCCCCCCCCCACGTTTGACGTCATACATTAAAGATAGAACACGTTTTCTAAACATGATCTCTGACATTAACAGCAATGGAAAACTTCCTCTAAACACTATTCTCCGTACACTGGATATTTCTTTTCTCTATACAAACATTCTCCACAAAGAAGACCTAAAAGCCATAGAATCTTCTCTGCTAAAACTAGACAAACCCAACACTCAAATTATTACAGACTTAGCTGAACTAGTACTTACACTTAATGGTTTTGAATTTAATAATGAGTGCTATATTCAAACAAGATGGGAGATCTAGAGACGGAGCTGTTGGAAATTTGGCACAGACAAACCAACATTTTGGAGATATTACATTGATGACATTTTTTATTTGAATAAGAGAAAAAGATTCATTACTGTCCTTTTATCAACATGCTAACACCTTCCACAGTTCTATTAAGTTTATTATAGACTACTCCACTACCCAAATAAGTTTCTTAGATTTAAACCTAACTTTAAAAGATGATGTTCTACATACCGATTTGTACCGAAAACCAATGGATAAACCACAATATTTACATATTCAAAGCTGTCACTCTCCACTCACCAAACACAATATCACATTCAATCAAGCACTTAGATTAAAGAATATATGCTCTGACAGTAAGAACTATGATCATCATATTAATTCTTTGAAACAGACTGTGACTGAAAGAGGTTATAAACAAAACACTATCATCCAACAACTCGACAAAGCTAACAATATATCACGTGAATCTATCTGTCTTGAGATAATTACCTAAAACCAATTCTTCTCATGTTATTATCTATTACCCAAAAACTTAAAAATTTACCCCTGATACTAAAGAAACACTTTTACTTCCTTCAACTTAATGATCGACTATAATCCATTTTGACTAAAGTTCCTGTCATTTCTTTCAGAAAAAATAAAACTTTGCATTCACACTTAGTTCATGATAAAGTTAACTTTAAGTTGACACCAGGTGGAAGTCATCCTTGCAGTAGCAAGCGATGCCAAACCTGCAAGTTCGTGCAGGAAATGGACAAATTTTCCAATGAAGACAACCAAAAGCAGTTCAAAATCACTAAACCCATTAACTTGCTTTACAAAAAATATTATTTCCTTAATCCAATGTCAAAAATGCAACTTTCAACATGTAGGTCAAATTAAAACAACTATATGGGAATATTTTAATAACCACAAATCAACAATCAAAACAAACAAATATTTTGCTAAATATTTGTTCAGTTTACCAATTAATCCAAGTAATGCTTTATTATCTCTGCATCCCACAATACACCTAAAAATACCAAAAAGTTAAATGCCATCAGTAAACTTTACTTATTAACTTTTTATATCAAACTATAATTTTTCCCACTGTGGCAGTCCAACTAACAGGTTTATTTTGTTTTTCTTTTTTCCCTCAATTCAACCAATCAGTGCATGTGTTGAGACTTGGACGGGACCAAAGTCAGTCAGTTCATGTTATACTATCATGTGGTTGTTGATGTCATGTGACCTTTAGCATGCACTCATTGCTGTGAAAGTAAATAAATATACGTACGCCCCCCCCCCATTTCCTAGTATAAACAGTAGTGATGTTAGGTTATGCAAGTCTGGCTCCTGAGTTTCTGGGCTGACTCCTAGATCTGAAAATATTTGTCGAGGCCTGATACATGAAGACTGTTTTCAGTTCATACACAATATATACTTGTTCAGTCTGCACCAACAATCACATTCCTCTTGATGGCTTCAATGTGGAACCTGTAGTTCTGGAGGTACAATGCCCACTTCATGATTCTTGCACTGTTGATTTTGCACCTGATGTACATTACGGGAAACAGTCTGTCTTCACTCTATTGCAGAAGTATGCTCCAATTCCAATGTCTTGTGCATTGGCCTGAATGTTGTACAGTTTGTTGAAATCTGGCATTCTAAAGATTGTTGAACTTCCTAACTTGTTCTTCAACTTCTGGAATGCCATCTGCTGTGGTTGTTCCCACTTCATATTGTTGGGTTGACCTTTCTTGGTCAGGTCTGTCAGTGGTGCAGTGACTTCAGCATAGTTTGGGATGAACTTCCTGTAGTATACCACTAACCCCAGGAAGGATTTGACTTGCTACTTGATTGTTGGAGCTGATGCATCTTGTATGTCAGGTTAGCCTCTCCTCTTCCATAACTATCTGTTGTTCCCCCACCTTGTGTCCAACACAGAATAGCTGATGTAGAACTTAGATGGTCTGACCTGCTTCCCTCACTCACCTGAACAGCTCTCTGAGTTTCTTCAAGTGGTTTTTCCCATCTGGCTGTGTGGGTAAGAATGTTATCTACAGATTGCTCAATGTTGGTGATTTTGTGCAACATCTTTCTCATCATGTGATTGAATGTCACTACTGAGTGATCTAACCCAAACAGCATCCTCTTGAATTGGTAGCATCCATTTGGTATTACTAAAGCTGTCTTCTCTTTTGTTTATTCATCCTTTGGGATCTGTCAATAAGCTTTACTGAGGTCAGTCTTGGTAAAGAACTTGGCCCCATCTAATTTTGCCATGATAGCCTTTGAGTTGCCATAGGTTTGGAGTCAAATTTAATCAAGAGATTCAGCTTTTGGAAAACTGTGCAGAAGTGGTTTGAGCCACCACATTTTTAATGATTA